ATAGAAGCCAGCGCCTCCGCCTCGATCCACTTGGTAAAGTAGTCCACCGCCACAATTATGTACTTGCGCTTCCCTTTTGCTGTTGGGAATGGGCCCAGAAGGTCTACTCCCCATTGTGCGAAGGGCCAGGCGCTCAGGTTGCCTTGGAACTCGGTCGATGGGAGATGATGCTGGCGCGCGTGTAATTGACACTTGTTGCATTCGTCAACGTACTTCTTTGTGTCCTTTTTCGCCCGCGGCCAATAGTACCCGTGCAACAGTATGGTGCGCTCCATACTGCGCGCACCGGCGTGCATCGCCCACATTCCTTCATGCAGCTCTCGCACCATGTTGCGTGCCTCGTTGTTCTCGATGCATTTGAGATATGCTCCGGAGTATGATCGTCGGTATAAGTCCAGGCCAATTATTGTGCATCGGGCCGCCTTCTGCCTCAAGGTCCATGCTTCTTTGGCATCTTCTGGCACCATGCCGTCTTGTAAGAACCTTATGATCGGGGTTCTCCAGTCATCTTCCGCGATTTGGGTGGTATTGACCGTGGCCTCTTGGTTGGTTTCCTCTTCCTCCTTTTGTACTGTCACTAGGCGTGTAGACTCGAAGTTTGTTGTTGTTGCCAGTTTGGATAGCGCGTCGGCATGCATGTTTTCTTCCCTTGCTATCTGCACGTATGTCACCGCCTCGAAGGTGGTTGCTCGTTGCTTGACGCGCTCCATATAATGCGCGAGTGCATCTTCTTTGGCATCGAAGGCTCCATTCAGTTGGTTGACAGCTAACGATGAGTCGGAGAGTACTCTGATTGTTCTAGCGCCCAAGTCATTGGCAGCCGCCATTCCCGCCAAGATGGCTTCATACTCGGCGGCGTTATTTGTCTTCAGGGCTCTGAATCGGATTGCTATTTCGTGTACAACACCTGTGGGCGTGCGCACGACTCCCCCCTCGCCGGCGCCGTGCTTGCTCGCCGCGCCGTCTACATAAACCTCCCACACTCCTTCCGGTGCTGTTTCCAGGGTTTCTCCCTCCACGATGAAATCTGCCAGGATTTGCGCCTTTATTGCTGGACGCGGAGCGTACTGGATGTCGTACTCTGACAGTTCGACGGCCCACTTTACCATCCGCCCCGATACCTCCATTGAGGTTATGATCTTTTTTAAAGGTAGGTTGGTTAGGACAGTGATTCGGTGTGCCTGGAAGTACGGCGTAGTTTTTGCGCTGCGCTAACCAGTGCTAATGCTGCTTTCTCGATAGGGGAATACCTTGTTTCTGCGCTGACTAGAGTTCGCGATATATAGTACACCGGACGCTCGCTTTGACCGTCTCTCTTGGATATTAGTACTGCAGTTACGGCTCTTGTGGACACGGCAAGATACAGAAAAAGCTCTTCATTAATTTTTGGGGCAGTCAATACAGGGGGGGAAACAAGATAGGCTTTGAGTTCTAGGAAGGCCGCTTCGCACTCCTTGGTCCATGCAAATCGCGCGCCGTTTTTCAGTGTCTTGAAGAATGGGGCGCACTTGTCCGCTGATCTTGGGATGAACCTTCCTAGTGCCGCAATTTTCCCGTTCAGAGACTGGATCTCCAATGTGTTTCTTGGTGCGCGCAAGCCCTGGACTGCAGTGATTTGCTTTGGGTCGACTTCGATGCCGCGCTTGGTGATCATGAATCCCAAGAATTTTCCGGCCTCTGCTCCGAACACGCATTTCAGCGGGTTCAGGCGGAGACTGTGTTTGCGGAGCGCTTTGAATGTCTCGCGCAGGTCATCCAGATATGACTTCCCTGCCTTGGTCTTAACGATGAGGTCATCCACATATGCCTCAATGTTGCGCCCCCTTTGTTGTGAAAACACCGCGTCGATCATCCTCAGGTATGTCGCGCCAGCATTCTTCAGCCCAAATGGCATTCCGACGAAACAGAAGTTTCCGAACGGCGTCATGAAGGCTGTTTACTCTTCGTCTTCGCGCGACATTGGGATTTGGTGGTACCCTGAGAACATGTACAGGAAAGACAGTGTTTCATGGTCGGCGGTGGCGTCGATCAGTTAGGGATCCCCTGGGCACACCTTGTTGATCGTCGTGTAGTCGACGCACATTCGCCAGCCACTTCGGGTATTTCACTGGACGGACTAACCCCGCCGACAGCAGGCGCGCCACCTCTTCCTCAATGGCTTTAAGCTTGTCACCCGTAAAGCTCCGTCGCGCCTGTTGTCTTGGCGTCGCGCTGACTGGGACCCCAAGGGAATGTTGGGCGACTTCTCTTGGCACCCCCGGCATGTCTTCCGTGCACCACGCGAATAATTCTTTATACTATTTCAGCAGCTTTATCAACGGTTCAATCGCGTCTCCAGGGACGTGAGTTGAGACGCGTACCTTGCGTGTTGGCTCGCTCGGATCAAGGGCGACTTCGAAGTCAGAATCCATTGACTCCGGGCGAGGCTCTTCTGCCCTTGTGTCAACGATGTTGGTCTGGCGGACTTCTCCTAGCTTTGGGGCCTCCCATGTTGTCCCGCGCGCTTCGCCGCTCCCCTCCTTAGTGGAGAATTTAAGTTTCTGGTGGCATGTTGACGGGAGAGCCATGAATTTTGCCAAGAGCGGGCGGCCAAAAATTCCATTGTGGGGGGATTTGCAGTCGACTATCGTGAACTCGACTTGCTTCGAGACGCGTGGCTCTTGGTCCCCGAGCACGACTGGAAGAGTGACCACACCGATAACTGGGACCCTCGTGCCGGAGAAACCGACTAAGTTCCCATAGGCGGGCTTGATTAGCCGCGGGTCGATGTCCATCTGGTCGACCGTGCTTTTGAAAAGGATGTCCGCCGCGCTGCCCTCGTCTATTAGTAGGCGGCGAACCTTGCAGGCGGCTACGAGCGCGGTGATGATGAGTGGGTCCTCTGACGGGACCCCTCCAGGGAGTTCAGCGTCGTCGAAGCTCAGGTTGCACTTCTGTGGAGCTTCCGCCGCCGCGCACTCTATGGCGCGGTCGCGCTTGGTCTTTTTCTTCGGGCGGTCCCCTTCTATAGTTACTACCCCAATTTTTTTTCGCACTACGTATGAGCCCGAGGCGTCGTCGTAGTCAGCCTGTGGCGGTGGTGGAGGTTCCACAGGGCGCTCCACCGGTTCTTCCGCTCTGCGAATGAACTCATTCAGGAGTCCCCTTTGTATGAGGCCCTCGATCTCATAGCGCAACTCTCTGCAGTTTTCTGTCCAGTGACCCGTGTCCCTGTGGAATTCGCAGCGCTTCTTGGGGTCTCGCATGTGCGGGAGGGTCTTCATGGGGGCGGGCCAGTTGATTTTGTACCCCTTCTCTCGCAGAACGTGGTAGACGTTCTTAACCGTGTCGTTGAGGGGTGTATAGTTTGGCGGGCGCCTATTTGGCGACCGCCCCTGATGGGCTTGTTCTGGAGGAGGTGGTGGGCGTCTGGCGCCGCTGTGCGCTTGCAACAGCTGGTCTCGCGGCACAGGAAGCTGCCTACGAGCTTGATCTTCTTTGGGCATTTTGGCGGGTTCGAAACGTCTGATGGAGCCCGAGCCCAGCGTCTCTTTGAAAGTGATGGCCTTTTCAATCTTGACCTCAAGCTCCGTAGATAGTGTGATTGGTCTCTTTGCTAGCGCTCTCTTGAGCTCCATGCTAGTGGTGGCGTCCATGAGGTGATGGGCGGCGGTTTCTGGGGTGAGATCTCTTACAGCCATTGCCACCCTGGACCACCTGGCGTAGAACGCCCGCAAGCTTTCTCCATCCTTCTGGCGGATGTCTATCAGCGCCTTGAGGTGGAGAGGCCTTCTTTTTTGTGACGCGAACTTCGTTGTGAACAGGAGTATGAACTCTTCGAAAGAGCGGATGATTCCATTGGGGAGGTGGTTATACCAGTCGAGGCATATCCCGGAAAACGTTGATGGGAACGTCCGGCACAGTGCCGCGTTAGAGTTGGTTTGGAGTTGCATCCGTAGGCAGAAGGTGCTGACGTGATCCTCAGGGTCGGTTGTGCCGTTGTACGTGGGGAGGGTGGGTGGTGTCCCGCTCAAGTGTTCCGCCATGATCTCCGCGCACAACGGTTGATGTAAGGCCTTTCTAGGCGGATTGGGGCAGAACTGTGGGGACAGGTGTTGCTCCAAAAAGCTGAGGTCCGCTCTTCCGGGCGGTTGCCTGATGTGGTGGCGGGACATTGCCTGATGTCCCTCCTTACGTTAGCTGTAACGCATCAGATTGCGCACTCGGCGCTGCCGCAGCTTCTCTGCTCATCATGAGCGCAATAACTTGGCTCATCTGCTTTTGCATATCGGCGATGACGTCGTTTTGCTTCGTCACCAGCTGCCTCATCTCCTTGGCCGTCAGTTCGGGCTCCTCTTCCTCGATGAGTACCGCGTCGCGGTTGCTGGCTTCCGCGAGTCCCGCGAACACCCTAGGATCCGTCATTGCCTTGATGGGGGTTACCTCGCCGGGTATGTTGGAGTTTTGTTCTGCCATTTTTTCTTCAGGCCCCACGGCGGGCGCCAATTGTTTGAACCTAACTGAGTGTAGGAGTGAAGTTCACTAGAATGGGCCGAGAAGAATGAACGGCTTAGTTGAACAAGAACTTTGAGACAAATGAGAAGGAGGATAGAGCTGAGAGAGAGAGTGTGTTTAGTGAGAGAAAGTGATGATCTTAGAGATAGAGTCTGAAAAATCCGATCCCCTCACCCACTGGAGTAAATGCCATATTTATAGGCTACATGGTGGTGGGTGAGTTACATGATGGTACAATGACGTGACCACTACGGTACGGTGACATGACCACTGACATGTGAGGGACAAAGACCATATCCCTATAGGTGACAAGACCCTTAGCCATGACTATACCTAGGACTATGATGTTGACTACCCTTTGGGTGACGCGGCGCCGCTTCTACAACTTCTCGGTGAGGGCCCGCGCTTGTCCAAAGCGCCGTCGTTTGGTGTCTATGCGCGGTCCTTGGGGCCGGTCTCTACACTCGCGCCTAGCCCTGGCGCGACTCGGCGTTGACTTTGGCGTGAGCATCCTTGGGTATTTCTTCGGCGTGTTGAGATCCGAGTCACATCCCCAACAGTACTGATACAACAACCATTGCACCTGTACACAGATACCATTGTACTGGTACAACTACTAATGCAAAAAAAGAAAGTAATTAATATGAATTTTTAATTCAGACAGATTATTAAATGTAACACAAAATAATTACCTTAAAATCATATAATTAATATGGATATCATTTTTCCAACCCTTCGGCGAGAATAGTGATGCTGCTGTCTCATCCACTTTTAACTATAATCTGTCGGGGTCGGTTAGCATGCTAACCCCCCTTAGGGGTTGGAAAAATGACACCCCCTAGTATATTAAATACAACTATATAATTTAATACACACATTAAATACACATTAAGAATTAAATGCACCATATTAATTATTTGTTTTTTTTTTCAAATTAAAACCTACACCACTTCCGCTCCGCCATTCTTGCACAGAGACCACAAGATCGAGATGCAGTGCTCTTTCTCGCCACGCACGAACCGCATCGATTGTAGACCTTAATAGCCACAGCCAACCTAGAATATCTCACGATCTCAATCGTCCCTTCCACCGTCTCCGCTAGGGAAGCAAGCACTGCCATCGAATCTGCCACCAGCTCTTCCTTGTCCGTACCGAAACGACTTCGATTAGAATCGGAACGACGCCGTTCTCCACACTCTCTGGTTGTTCCCTGATACATTAGAAGGCCGAAGAGCGCCACCACAACGTTCTTCTTCCCGCAGGGGTTTCCATTCTTGATAAGCAAAATCACCCCTGGGATTGCTTCTGGAGTTTCCCCGATCAACTTTCTGACTTTCTGTATCCTTTCATCGACGACAGGTAGAAAATCGTCACATATATTTGATTTTTCCTTTTTCAGCAGTCTCCGACCACCAGACTTCCTCCGACCGCCACACTTCTCCGGTGAAAATCCCATCGGCAGACTCCCTCCGACCACCTCCAAAAAATATACCACTGTACTGGTAGATATACCACTGCACTGGTAGCGATATCAGTGCACTGGTAGCAATGTCATATCTGAGTATCAGTGCAGTGGTACAAATACCAGTAAAGTGGTACAACATATCAGTGCAGTGGTATATTTTTGCATGTGACCGGAGAGAGTTTGTCGGCGGATTTTACCGGCGAAGTGTGATGGTCGTAGGCTGCTCGGAAAGGAAGAATCAGAGATAGAAGTGAGAAAGATCAAAGATGAGAGAGAGAATTGTATTTTGTATATGTTTAGATTTTTTTAAAAAACAAGTAATTAATGTGGTGTATTTAATACTTACTTTGTATTTAATAACAGAACATTTATTATGTTTTTTTCATTAATATTTGTCAATAATTAATGAAAAATTGACCAATTAAAAGGGGTATCAAAAAACCAACCCTTAAGGGGTTAGCATGCTAACCCGTCCCTAATCTGTCTAATCTAAATGCAATGGTATTGGAGATTGAATAGGATAATTATAATTTAGCCTGCATTCAGTGCAGCAAATCATGGTTTCATGGCTAGCTCCGTTTTGGGCCAGGACTGGGTATTGTGGATCCAGCTCTGTATATTATTGTTGGGCCGAATAGTTATCAGTTCATAATGTAACATACGGCAGATCCGAACTGGGCCATGTTTATGATTGACAAAACTGGCTGGGTTTGATTCTTGTATACGGTTTGTTTGCTTTGTAGGGAGATACTGCACCACTCGATCTCATTAATAAAATTTGTTCTATTATCGCATGCACGAACATAGAATTAGACAAACACTCAAACCTGAAAGAATACACCATCGTTACATTAGCTTGACCACATCCACAATTAAAAATGCATTACCTCTGAGTGTCAATGCACTACAACAATGCGTCGCAGTTTGATTAATAGGTCGTTTGAATACAAATAGGTAAATATGGCTCAATCAACATATAATAAAGGATCCGTAATTTTATAGCTATGTGCCCGAACCGAAGTTGGTTTAACAATAACGAAAAGGCCCACCAATATTTAATTTGTTATTTAAAGTCAACATGAACAAATTAATTAACATATGTCCAAAGTTAAGATCCAAAACATGTCCATAACATATGTCTGGCTGGAGGGTGGTTATACCCTAAAGAGATGTCTGTGGCTAGCTAGTTAAGGACACCGCCCATTAATATTATTGTCCCAATGACCCACTGCCCCTATATATCAAAATTGACGAGAGAGCTAGCTAGGGAACATCCGCACACATAAACTACAGTAAACTAAACAAAGACTGCCCTTTGTTATGTCGAAGAAACTGAAGATCCCTTACTAAGCTATAAGACCAGATGGTGATGGAAACAAACTTTGTTGGCTGATCTACAACATGCTACGTCTTGTCTTCCCTTCCATACATAAAGATGGTTACATCATCTTGATCTTAATTGAAAAATGTCTTCTCCCACTTAAATAAAATATATTCCGGTAAATCCAAAATAACGGGTTATATTTTATCTTTTAAATTAAATTATCATATCGTTATCATCAACATGACTGCGTCTTCTAGACTATAGGAAGGTGTGTTGTTCGATATTATTAATCAAACGAGATTCGAAGATGCTCCAAGCTGTAGGGTAACCAAATATATGAAATGATGCATATGGATTACATACAACATGGATACTTTATGGTGTCTGTACACAATCCTGGTATACTTGTTGGTATTGATGCCTCAAACTAATTCCAAGACTCGCGAAGTTACGGAAGTTATCACATTGAGTTAATTGTGTGTAGGGTTTCACGTGGATTTATGAGAGTGTTGTTTATAATGTCTATTGGCACATCTCATAAGCCATTTTACAAGGCTATACATCGGGAGTCTTTTGTTGTTGAAGACATACCAGTTTTCAACTTCTCCAAATTATAAAATACCAGGTATACTTTTCTTTATGTTGGGAGTTTTCTACTTACTCCACAACTTTGTACTTTGAAGATTATTCTTTGATCGTCATCATAGTGGATTTACTCGCATGTCCATCCCGGTGGTTTTTCTCCCTCCGCTTTGGAGGGGTTTTCTATGTAATTTTGGTGTCTTTTCTTTGTTCGTTCTATTCTCTATTTTTCTTGTTCGATTTCATATTGGATTTGCTTCCGCGCTAGTACTCATTTATCCAGGTTCAAAAAGTATTAAAACGATAACAATACTGGTAGATGATCATCATCTACAGTGAAGTTATCCTCACCCTAGACAGTATGTTAGTTGTCCTTCCCAGTGCCAATAGCAGTAGTGTTCCTTATACTGAAAGTAAGAGCTTTAACTTTGGTGATATAGTAGACCTAAAGGCAGGAAGCATACATCCACCCAGCTAAGCATTTTTCCCTGGTCGTGAATTGGCTTCCACCCTGGCTGAAGGAATATGTCTTTTGAAATGTTACAGCTATCTCCTATTATATATTATGCTCATCATTTCCATTAGGACTGACAAGCCAATATAATATAGTGTCCATCACCATCAACCCCTCTGCCATAGCTGGGTATCTTTGACTTGTTGCAGCTGCTCACATTCCTTATCTACAAACAGTAGTTCGACTTTGGAGAGTTCTGATGGGATTCGGTGCAAATCGCGATATGTTCTTCATCGAACAAGAGGTTACTACTACTATTCAATTAATTTGGACGGTCAAATGATGTCGCGGTGAAAACATGCATAGTAAATAAAAAAACATGGTATCAGAAACTCATCAGAAGATGCAGTAATTCCCAGTAGCCAGGTAAAAAGAGGCAGGGCAGGCAGTCAAAATGGATGGGCCACAGAGCTGAGTAGGGCAGCTTTTCTTCAGGTGTTTGTGAATGATGAAACAGGTTTTGGGCAAGGGGGGAGAAGCCATTTGTCTTTCATGCTTCAGGCAACTGGCAAACTATATTGTAATATTGAATGTTGTTTGTCTTTTGACTTGTACAGATTACAGTTCCATGCATGCACCCTTGCCTTGCCCCAGTTGGCCACACTCATAAATTCAATTTGATCATATGCAATGTTTTAGCCCAAAAGCAATTGAAGTCGCCCCTAGCTACTTTTGTTCTTTGTTCTTTACCTATCCTTTAAGGAAATGTATGTATAGAATATGGATACTTCTTCTAGCAAAAGAGGCAAACACCCTCTGGTTCTTATCCACATACCTTATATAATATTATGTAGGGCACATCTAGTTGGTGCACTTTGGGCACATCGATCTCTTATTGTCATTTGTATATATAATTATATAAAAGTGAGACTGGTTTATTCAAAGTACAAATACTTTGGGGAGATCTGGTGAGATATATATCTGGACGATGAATTAGATCAACTTTGAAATATTATATCATATCATAACTTTCAATTTATAAAACCGAGACCCAATTCTTTAAATCTCACGCAAACAACAAGTATCGTTGATTCTAATTTGTCGAAATACAATGAAATACATCCAACTGTTACACCAGTTTTTACCATAATTATGAATACTATGTTGTTTTTAGTGGAAGATATGTAAATCTCGCAGCTCATTAGTACGATATTGTTCGCTTTGGGGCGACTTCATACGGATTTACATTTGGGTGCCCTCTCCAAAAGGTCTCATACTAATTTAGTTAGGCGGACACTTTATAGACAAGTGCTCATTCCCTCGTATTTTCAATGTGGGCCGTGGATTGTCCTATAACAAGATACCCCTTTTGACGGAGCACAATAGAAAAACTGGATTCTACGACAAATAAGGACTTGGTCAAATGATAATATCACTGGTCTTAAACCTGCATGTCTCATGTTCGAATCTCTTAAATAACACCTAACTAAAAACAAAACTCTTGTAAAATAAATTATAATATAATTTCTAAGCATTATAGTACACAAATAAGATGGGAGAGAAAGAGGGAAAAGGGTATCAAATGCTCTGCAACACTTGGAGCTGCCCCATTATTCGAATGTAGATTGAACTATGTACAAACATGTCCCTTTCACAGAACAGTATCATATCATGCATTGATGCATAGCAAGGTTGACAACCCGCGGGTTGACCCACGGGTCGACCCACTTTGACCCTGACCCGGTGAGAAAAACGGGTCATACGCACTTGTCGGGCCGACCGCTACAAGGTACCGGGTTGGAGGTTAAATTGCCATTTTTTTCTTTGGTTTGCGAAATGCACTTATTTTCCGATTTTTCTTTTTCGCCTAACTCAATCTTTGGAATCCTAAGTTGACCATTTGAATGGGAGCATATTAGATAAGTAACTGATGGGTCAGTAACCCATCAGTAACTCGTTCCCCGGTCCCAACGTGTCAGCTTCCTTTTTTATTTAAATTAAATGCAAAAGGACAGGAAGGTAAATTTGTACTTACCCCTATTTATTGCTGACGCTGACTTTTGACCAGACCATATCAGCGTTTCCTTCTCTCTCCTCGAAAAACCTTTAATTTTCTTTCCCTTAATCTTTAACGGACGATTTCTCACTCGTTTTAAGTCAAAATTTAATTTTTTTTTACACAGTTAGATCAGATTAATTGTGCTCTTCAAAATGATATCCACTTTGATATTTTTTGGACATAAAAAAATTTGTCAGTTATTACAAGTCAATATGGTATTGACTGGTATTAAATAAGACCATACCATATGGTATGAAAAATTTGCCACATCAATATATGTTTCGTTACCACCCAATACCATATGGTATAGTGTGGTAATATCAATATATATTTGGTAATACCACCCAATACCATATGGTATAGTGTGGTAATATCAATATATATTTCGTTACCACACAATACCATATGGTATATTGTGGCAATATCACACAATACCATACAATACCATATGGTATAGTGTGGTAATATCAATATATATTTCGTTACCACACAATACCATATGGTATAGTGTGGTAATACCAATATATATTTCGTTACCACACAATACCATATGGTATAGTGTGGTAATATCACACAATACCATATGATATAATACGGTAATATCAATATATATTTCGTTACCACACAATACCATATGGTATAGTGTGGTAATATCAATATATATTTCGTTACCACTCAATACCGTATAGTATAGCATGTTAATATCAATATATATTACCTAAAAGAAAAAAAACAGAAAGAGGGAGAGGGAAAAAAACTCGTTTTCTATTTCGTCTCATTTCCTCCGCAATCAAGAACACCAAACGCCAAAAAAGGGAGAAAGACCGAAATTGAGGCCAACGAGTTGATGAAGAGACAAAAAACGCAATGAAAGAGGGTGGCTGCAATTTTTCTTCGTCGATTGCTGGAGAGAAAAAAACGAAAAAAGAAGAAAAGGAAGCAGATCTAGATATGGAGAAAGAGATTGGAGAGAAAAAAAGGAACAGAGAAAGAGAAATGATAGATTGAGAGAGAAAATGAAGGGAGAAAGAGAAAAGAGAGTTGCAGAGGAATGATTCTCTCTCCTCCTTTGAAAAGGCCGCCATTAAAAGTGGTCTCCTTTTTTTGAAAAAGCGGCCATTAAACTTGGAATATAATAAAAATAAAAATTCATAAACGGACAAAAATACCCTTCTGGACCCTGCATTCAGCCCAGCCGCATGATTGATCCACCCCTAGATCTACGGTGTGCATGCATTTACTGATAGGTCAGTAACCATTGGTTACTGACTCTATCCCAGACCCATTTGAATATTTATGTTATATAAGTGTGTGTGAATTTTCACTATATGTTGGATCTAAGTACGATATGTTATTTTGGTGTAATATTATATGTTATAAGTCATATGCTAGATAAGATTTGATATAATTTATGAGGATAAGTACAATATAATGACTTTTTCTATATTTTCGGGCCAAACCGGACTAAAACGGTTGACCTATTAACTCTTAACCCACTAACTCGACCGGGTCCGGGTCGCAGGTTATGCATAGCCAAATACTGTGGCGAGCCGAGTGAAGTGCACCCCAAAACTTGTCAGCTTGGGCCCTTCAACCTCTGTAGCTTGCCAGTGCTTCTTGGTGGTGTAGGCCCACTGTCCTGTCTGTCCACAGACATCAACAGTCATCAATTGGGCTTGGGAAAATTATTAAGATCACCTGTGTACACATCTCTAGAGAAATATATACATATCAATACAGTCAGTTATGTGTTCCAAGGATTAAAATTTTAAAATCGAGGTCAATTCCGTGGTTGTGTCGTTGGATTTTGAATTTAGATATTACAATCTTATCGCGTATCGCCCCTTCCAATATCGAAAATCATACTTTGAAGTTTGTAACAACAATTAATCTATGATTTGATGGGGAAAAAAAACAACTAAGGATATCAAGGGTTGTCAATGGACTTCAATTTTGTACAAGAATCCGACGTCCCGAAAAATCCAATAACGCTACTGTTTCGCTAAAGCGTAGTCACTGTGACAAAGGGGCACACAAAATATTATTGTTAATCCCATTCTGAAAAAGTTATGACTTCCTTTCTCAAATAATTACTAATCGATCTAGAATGCTTGCTAATTAATTACAATTCACTAGAGGGCTGCTGAAAGCTAACGAGTTACTAACGGTCACCTATATCATGCTTAGTAGTAATAAAATTATTACCGAGACTAGCTATCACCATCAATGTTTACTCAACCAGTAAGTAGGTCGTCTATCATCAGCAATATTTACTGAATCTTCAGTGATGGTTGGATAGCTCGTAATAAACGGGGTAAATGCAACATTTGGTTCATTGGGATTACTAAATCGTGTTATATTTAGTCACTAGAAAAAATTAATATCAATTTTGATCACTTGAGTTACCAAACTAGGTCACATTTAGTCACTTTCCCGTTAGCCTCCGTCCAACTCCGGTTACTCGAATTACTTTTTTTTTTTAGGAATGTCACTCGAATTACTGAAACATGTCACATTTAGTCACTCTCCGTTAGCCTCCGTCCAACTCCGTTAATAGAGTTGGACAGAAACTAACGGGAGAGTGACTAAATGTGACATGTTAATTTAGTAATTCGAGTGGCCAAAATTGATATTTTTTTCTGGTGACTAAACATGACATGATTTAGTAATCTCAGTGACCAAATGTGGCATTTACCCGTAATAAATGTGTATATATATGCTAAATATTCGAGCTCGGATCAGGGGATGGACAATAGGTGGATCAATCATCAAATTTACTCTAACCCAACAAATACAAATTATAATGCACTCAATAATCTAACACGTATTTGCCTATTTGGGTGATTATATATGATAAGTGAATGTGCGTCCTTGTGACCCATAAAATTGGGGTGGCGCCTGCGGATGGATAATTGACCCGCAAAATCACTTGATCGATATTATAGCTTGATTCTCCATTTGGATTCCCAACTGAAACAGCTTTCTGAAAACCCTATCTTCCTCCAACAACAGGCTGATGTTGCACCCATTTTTACCTCTTAACGTATGCATCCTAGTAACTAACGTGATCAGACGCCTTTGTTTGCTTAGTGTGAAGGAGAAATAGAGAGGAAAAAAAAAGAAGGGAAAATTATGAGAAAATGCATACGGGGAGAAAGAGAGAGATTAGGTATAGACAAAGTTTCGAGTTTGCAATCTCTTCTCCTCCGTTGTATAGTGACTGGAGATGAGATGTGGCGTGATGCCTATGTATGAATAAAGCCAACCAAGCTTAGGAGTAGTTAGAGGCGTTGCAGCTTTAAATGGAGTTTGCACATATACACACATTATTTGACGGCCGGCGTCATCTATTCTCTATTCTTCGCTTTTTGCAGCAGCAGCAGCAGCAGCAGCAGCAGCAGGGCAGTTAGCACTTAGCATAGCAGCACCTCGTTTCCCAACCAACCAACCCCAACCCACAGGAAACTTGTGAGCGCTGGCTGATATATATGTGTATATCTATTCTATCGTCATATATAGTAGTAGTAGTATAATAATTTGTATACAATTTCAAGACACATGTGAATTGTGAAACATATATTGCATATGCCATCAACTATTTTTCCTAGGTTTTACCATAGTGGACTGTAACCATAGCTTTAGCTCGTCACGAGCATGTGGTCTCAAGTTGTTGCAAGAGAGGATAATATGGATTATATTCAAAAAAATTTAATTGGGGTTTAAACTTGACTCATAGTATTGAATACCCAAAAGAAAAAATTTATCTTTTTTTTTGTTATGAAACGAATAGAAAGATAAAACACCAAAATTAAAGGTGTAATTGTCATAATAGGGCAGCCCATTAGTACGATATTGTCCGCTTTGGGCCAAGTCCGCATGGTTTTACTCTTGGGTGTCCTCCCCAAAAGGCCTCGTACTAATGAGCTTGGTGGACACTAATATACAAGGGTCCCTTCCCGTGTATTACTGATGTGGTACTTGAATTGTCCCATAACAATCCTCCCCTCAAGACAAGGACCACAAACTTCGTGTCCTCACCTAAGCGATTATCTTGATCCGTCAGACACCTTGTATCGATGGGCTTCTCGATACAAGGATTTTTTCAGACGCAGAACTCTCTTTGATCTGCTTCCCAAATGTGGAACTCTCTTTGATCCGCCAAGCCCAAACGCGAATCTCTCCTGGATCCACCAAACCAGACGCAGATCTCAAATCCTGAGGTCACCGAATGAGGGTTCCGCCAAACTGACGTCCACCGCCCCGAACCGAACCAGACTCGGATACCACTTGTCGTAACTGGGCAACCTATTAGTACGATATTGTCCGCTTTGGGCCAAGCCCCCACGATTTTACTCTTGGGCAATCCAGTTAATGATATGGTCAATATTGTCTTCGTGTGTACAATCATCTATTGTCTTTGTGTGTACAATCATCTGGACCCAAATACACAGCTAAGGTCGGACCCAAATGACTTGATCAAGTTAGACCATATTCAAACCCAACCCAAACACAAACCCATATTAAAAGTGCATATAAGTTTATTTGGGTCCTACACAATACATATACAAATCATGACAATTGAGTCAAATTAGTAGGGGGTCAAACCATTGTTATTCCTAATATGGATCATATACCATTGTTTTTAAGGCCATCTAAAACAAAAGCAAACTCATGGACTTGAAGTATGTATAGGTCAGCTATACATTGGGCTTAATCAATAGTTAATATCAAGAGTCTTGAAAAATACAAAAACGAGAACTTTTTGTTAGGGGTGGACATTGGGCGTGTTGGCTGAGTTTTGGTCTCAAATTTACCCACTCTCTTACTAGCGAATTGATATAATAATGACCGGCTATCCACCCACAATCTTCTTCGAGTTGAGTTGGGTGGGTGACGGGTGAGTGTAGTTGGGTTGTGGGTTAATCCGCAAAGCAAATCTCCAACTACCTATTAAGAAACTTGACTAACATTTTTAATAAGTTCCTCACAAATTAGTAAGACAGTAGCAATTTAGGCACTTCCGCTTTGTATCTTGTGGATTCGTGTTGTATTTGCATCATACTTTACATCCATAAGCCAATTGTGTATAGAAAATTGTCGCATCTTCGACTATGATATAGTCAATAGTTTATAACATGTATCCAAATATCTAATTACACTGCACAATATAATAATCAATAATAGTAGTCCAAAAATGTTATATTCCCTGCCATTAGAAGTCAAGGGTCTTTGTTTTGTGCAGTTAGGAAACAAACATGATGACTATTTGATAGTATAAACAAGAAATAACATTTTTTGTCATGTAAAAATATGGTGCTGGTCATTCGGGCAATCCACCACCACTCACCCGAATAAGTGCGGATAGGAGATTTATCAATCTTCAATCCATCCATATCAATCACCACTCAATGGAGTTCGTGATTATTTGCGGGTGGATCAATGTCAAACTGCGGATTAACAACCCACGTGCCTACTCCTACTTTATGTCATAACATGCTCTAATATTTCTTAATTAAAACAGTTAATACGAGTAATTTGAGTTGTTGGAAAATATTAAAATATATATTTTATATCCCTCTTTTACACAAAAGGGTAAGTTCTTAAGTGGATCTATGATCCAGACATGGATAGAATAGATGGAGTTGAATAGGGGTCGGCAACGGGTAACAGGTATTTGGGTATACCCATACCCGTATCGTTTTTTTAAGGTTTACGGGTACTCATAATACCTGTAATATTATTAACGGTTTGGACTTGGGATTGTACATTCCTACAATGGGTACCCGCGGGTTACTCGCAAATACCCGTTTGGATAATATGGGTACCCGTTAAACCCGTTCATTATACAAAGGCTGAAACTGAAAGGCATAAAGCCCATTTCATTATACAATTGTCTTCCTTTAGGATAGGTTTGTGGCGGATGAGCTATGTTATGATTTTTCTATTTATATGGTGTTGAATTGATTTATTCTAGTTGAACAAGGTTGTCATCCTTTTGATTTATTCTATTTTTGCAGGTTGCAATTGCCGCCTACCAGGGGGTCAGCGAAATTGGAATCGGCAGATTGCACTTGCAGAACACCCAACAACATGCCAATTGGAAGTTGGAACTAACAGTATTAGCAGCTTCTTACTTTCTTAGTTGTTGTTAATGTTATGGGTGTTTGGATTTGGAATGCTTTATCCTATGTGTTTTGTGATTGTTCATGAATTTGTATTTTGCAAACTGAGTATTTGTGATTGTGTGAATGGGATGGATATTGTGATTGATAAGTAGGTACAAGTTAAGTTTAAACTTTAGTTAAAATTTTAGTGATTCAAACTTTGGGTATTTATGGGTAGTATGGGTACCCGTTATCCGTCTCATACGGGTAACGGATACCCATTTATCCATATGAATTTGGGACATGGGATGGACTTTGGTCTCCAAACGGGATTGGGTACCCGTTTCAAACGGGACGAGTATCCCGTCCCATCCCGTTGCCCCCCTAGAGTTGAAGACTTGAAGTAGATTATAAATGGTTGTTACCCTACTACTACTACTGCCGTATGTTATATGTAGGGGGTTATAGTGTATAGGAAGTTGTGCATCATTATCATTTCTTGCCCATGCATTCATTCATTTCAATATTTGATTTGATTTGATTGGGAGCAATCACAACTTCCCACCACAACATCTCCCCTCACCTCGGGAAGGATCGAAAAAACGTCCATGTTGAGCCATGAATCTTGTGCATTTAAAACCCACCCCGGCCATAACGTTTTATGGTCCGGTCCATCCATCGAGAAACAACCCCTACATGACAAAATAAGAACACCCAATATATATGAAGAAGAAAAGATCAGCCTCTCTCTCAGCTCTCTCAGCCTCTGACAATGGTGGGGGAGAAGGCACGATGATGAATAAAAATAAGAGTACAGAAGATCATGAGAGAAATATTGGCGGTAAGGGGTAAGAGTAAGGAAGCCCATTTTCTGCGAGCGTGTGCACGATAATGATCATGATTGCAAATTATTTGGAGTTGCATTGCATGCCAACTTATAGCTAAGCTAGCTCGATGCAATGCATGGCCTCCTTCCAAAACAAAAACAACAACGTAACGTGGGGAGAGAAGTAGCTAGCTAGCTAGGACCTCCATCCTCGTATTATATATAGCTAGGTAGTTAATTAGGTTGGCTGTGATCATTGGATCTGCTGCCTGCCAAATATCTATATATCTTTGCAATCTCTGCTTCAATTCTTCGTGCTTTGCTAGCTAGCTTCAAACCCATCATCTTTAATGGTGGGTAGGGTTCTTCTCCTACGCCTCCCTCTCTCCCATCCCTCTCGCATATACTAGATGGCTACTTAGATTCTTTTATGTCACTTACCTCATCATGGGAACTCCCTCGAATGAATGTCTTGGCACTAGCTAGCTAGATTCGAAATGTACATACAAAAGTAAAGGAACCCATGTGTGTGTGACTAAGTGGGTATATATTGTTTATTCTTGTGTTATGTTTTGGAATTCTCATATAGTGATTTTGTCGCGATGTGTCAATAGATGGAATTAGGTATCAAGAACAAATAGATACAACGATGGTTGCTCAGATAATAACCGATCATGGGCGGGCGAGTCCGAATTGAGAGCAAGGTGTTTCGGGCGACGCATCTTTGTTGAAAAATTTTGTGAGAGAATTTGGTTTCTTCATTATTATAAAAGAATTCGAAATTGGGATATTGAACGTAATTATTGTAAGCGACACGCCTCCATTATTCGGGGAGAAATTATTGTTATAAAATTACTATTTTATCTATAGACACACCTCTCCATCATTTTAATGGATTACAGAAATCATAACCATGAAATGCTAGCAAACGAGAAACAAAGAAATTAAGGGTTCTATATATTGGCGAATTTGAATTAGAGTGGGTCTCAACTAGCGGCGGATCCATGACACAATATAGCACTGGGCCGCATTTTATTAGAAATTAAATATTGTATAAAAATCAGAGTTTTTTTTTACAATATCAATTGTACACATCGATCTTTTAAATTTGATATAGTGAATTCATAAATAATGGAGTTACATCCATACCAATAGCATACTCTCTTTAAGGTAAAATAGTTAACCAATTGGCGAGAAATTCGTCACTCATTTTGTTGCGCAAATAATTTTTCACCTATTTCATTGTTGAAAAGGTTCTCTCCATAGTAGTTGTTGGAACGAGCTATGTCAACACTGGACAAATCAATCGACTAATCAATATCGATAAACTCATAAGGGTTAGACTAGCTTCGAATCCAGGGGAGAGCTGGGCCGTGGCCCGGAGTGGCCACCCCCTGGATCCGCCACTGATCTAAACTTATATAAAATAAAAAATAATTAACTACATATACTGCCACCAAAGTCCAAAAGGGAATATATATGATTTGATAATCTCAAGATTTGGATTCAAAGAGGTGATGAACTTTCGGCTTATTTCCCCTCAAGTTCAGTAGATACATATGTATATGTCCTATCTATCCATGTCAAAAAAGAGGTCAAATAATATTCTTATCCACTAGTTATCCTACAGTAAATTGGTGCCAAATCTAAACTCAAATTGAGGATGTAGTCGATAAGGATTATATGTTATGATGCATGCAGTCTATTCTTAACTGTTGCCCTAAAGCAAAAACAGAAGAGATAAAATACACTGTGCTTCGAGAGAGATGAACCTTTGGGTCAATTCAAGCCACCAAAAAAAAAACATCATAATAAAGCAATAAGAAGCCAAGTTGATGAGAACGTAGCAATCCAAAAGAGAGCCAGAATTGAATAATGAGCATGAAGCCAATAGGGATAAATTGATCTTTGTGCTGATTAAGACCAAAGAAGAAAGTGATTTTTGTGGTATAAATAATAAGGTCAAGCGATCCATAAGAACTATTTGGTATATTGCAAGTTGGAGATATAGAAAGAGAGTGACTAACAAATAAAGTGAATAGGACCCCATTTGTTCTTTCATTCATTCATTCATTTTTTTTTCTTTTATAATGATGATGATAATAGAAAGTTGGCCTCATCCTCTCTGGACTTGTCCCCTTTCCCATTTGATTTCCCTCTCTAACAAGTAAAAAACCAATGGAAAGAAGGATTAGTAGATTGATTAGTTTCCAAACATCGATACATGTTATAACACAGGACAATTACTGACAAAGTAATAATTCAAAATCAACAATATGTAAAGTCGCATGATTCATTAAACACAAAAGATACTGACATTTTAAAAATCGAAGAGAACGATAAATTTTGATAAAGGAGTATAGAATATATATATAAACAGAAGATTGTAGTACATATTTAACTCGTATCTTATGTATAACAACAAGAATCGTGTATTAACGGTCGTACAGCTAGCGATAAACAGTTTCAAGAATTCCTCAGCTTATAAATCTTTTTTTTTTCTCTCCATTTTTTTTCCTACCTCTATCTTTTGGCTTGCTTGAAGAGCTTAAAAGGTTGCTAATCAAATACGCTAGGAAGAAGTCTGATCGGGACATGAGGATAATAATGTCCCCTGAACCAACTCCAAGTACGTATTTCTTAAATGGAAAGGCAAATTATTAAGATAGTTCGGCCAAAGAAGAAAGTGGTATTAGTACAGTACAACTGGAGAATTCAGACCGGCCGGTTGGTAAATGTTCCTGTGGTGGGGTTTTGCTTAAAGAGAAATTTGTCTCAGGATGAGTAACAATTTTTTCAGTTTCCAAATACAAATTAACGAAAATTGTATGACGCGCGATCGTTCTTATCGTACATTTATTGAGTCTCGTTATTTATACCATGAAATAATAGGAGCTTGTGCTTCATACTATTACCTAATCTCTAATGGGTAAACTGTTTTTAATTCTTTACATAATAAGATTAATTTATCAAAACATAATAACCGACGATTTTGACTTGTCCGTAGATATAATATTGTGCGAAAGAAAGCAATGGAGTCGGAACTATTTTTAATTAGTGAGCATGAAAAAGCTTGTACAGTAGTGATGAAACTTGTGCGCAACACGTACCAGTTGAACTGTTGAAGTGCAAAATAGTTAATTGATTAATTAAACGCATGCATGTAATAATTGAATAATATATATGGCTCACACATAGTTAACATGTGTTGATTAATTATTATTATTATTGTTATGTCAAATAACGAAACTACGTACTAAATTGATTTAGCAAGCGGATATGATAGTATATATATTAGTATAATTATTCCAACGGCGTCCGATCCGCCAACTGCAGTTCTATCTTTTCAGCTTGCGAATGATTAATTATTTTTGTCATTACAGAATGAAGCAATAATTAAGCATGTCGGCTACTAATTAATATTCGTTTGTCATCGGGACAAGGGAATTATTGGTGTCGTCGTTTTTCTGTTTAGAGAGAATATTTAATTAGTGATATTATATTATCCCACTTGATGATTAATTGACTTGATTTGTTTTTTGTTCTTGTTGGTCGGATGATGATGATTGATGAAATAACCCCATAAGAAACTTCGAAGGATCCAGAAGATGCATGGTTGTTAAGGGAGATTGTCTTATTTTTAACGATAATAATTAATACACGATGATGATTAGCCATTTTCGAATGATCTATATGTAATCACCCATGCAAAGAGATGATACGTCGCAATTGTGTCCTTAATTAGCTTGCTAGGGTTATATATTACGAGGGTCCCTTTCATGCATGACTTTGACTACATAATTCTTGCCAAATTAGAGCCTTAAATTACTCCCGTTATTAACGTTCAATCCCATGTGCTTTCGTTGTCTTTGTGTTGATCCAATTTGTAGTCGATGAAAATTCTTGAAAATGATACGATATCGTAATCTTGAAAATATTATTTGTAGGGTATATGATTGTTGGCGGTTCGATCCCCTCTTACTTGATTCATGTGCAATATAAGTAATTGACACAAACGGTTGCTCTCCCTTAGTCTCTTTATTTAATTGATCTCGCTTCTTTTTTATCTGAAACAGATGATCTCGATATTAATTAGCAATCTCACTTTTCACCTGAAGTATGAAACATCGGTGAATTTGTGACAATGGTAATCAGAGGCGGAGGCAGGGGGTCCGGGCAGTGTCCCGTGACACCGGTACTTTTGGGAGTGAAAAAAAAACCCCACATATGTAGAATTTAAGGATTGAACTAATGACCTTTAGGTTGATTAAAAGTGTTTTACCACTACATTGCAAGTTGATTCTTACTTAAAAGAGGACACGGGTATGTTTGAATTAATTGTTTAGATATTAATTTTATTTATATTCTAAAAAGAGGACACATATATTTTTGAATCCTGGCTCCGTCACTGATAGTAATATACATTTCAAATTAATCTATAGTTTGGTAAAGGGTTTCTATATAACCACACATTTTGCTCACCGTTTTGTTCCTTACCATAAGAAGAATTTTACAATGCTATATAGTATTGGTCCTATAGGTTTTTGCTTTTATGGTACAACTTGAAATTGGTCCTATATTACCATAATTCTATAATTAACTTCGAGAAAAAGAAAAACTGAATGCATGCATTCTAATGTCTGATCTCAATGACTGACTGGATGCATGCATTCTAATGTCTAATCCCTTAATTTGGTGCATTTCCTAATCACACATCTTTCCAAATCAAAAGCACTCCATAGCGATGCTTTTCAATTGAAAAATAGGGAAAAGCATATGATCAAACCGTAGGATAACTAATCCGATACTTAGGGTAGAAAAGGAGAATTTCATGCAGAGAAGGCAGCGAGAAAGGAGAATTGGGAAACCCTATAGCAGATTGATAGAAATGGCAGTGGGCTCTAGGCCGCAGATACGGTGCATAACAGGTTATTCATTTATCCATAACTATCTGAGTCTTTTATTCAAAAAATTCAGATCTAAAAGTGAAAAATTAAAGACATTTTTAGTTTCTTCTATTTTTTTAATCGACTCATATATTCTTCGTTTTAGCTCGGATTTCAAAAAAAATTTTGCACAGATGGAACAAGTTCGTTGTGCTCTACAAAATGAGATATATTTTCAATATTTTTTTAGAAAAAAATTAACGCCTCTCGTTATCAACTGCATACCATATGGTATCTTATTCGTTTTTAAGTCATTTTTGAAATTTTTTGCACAGAATGAACGGGTTCATCATGATTTATTGGATCTACAAATTTCTGGGTGGACAATATACACTATAAAAAAATACCACACAATACCACATAATACCACCTTGGTACGGGGTGGTATCTTGTGGTACACAATGTTAAAAGTCATAAATGACAGTTAGTATACTCCTATTATCATGTATTCAACCATCCTACAGTCTTGGTATGTGCATATCACCATGGTACGCTTTTCATACCATATGTTATGCTCTTATTTCAATACTAGTCAATACCATATGGTATAGACTAGTAAAAATGACTCAATTTTTTTGTTCAAAAAATATATCAAAATGAATATCATTTTAAGAGCATAATTAACCTGATCTAACTGTGCAAAAAAAATTAAAATTCTGACTAAAAATGAGTAAGAAATCATCCGTTAAAGGTTAATGGGGAAAAATTAAAGGCTTTTCAGGAAAGAGAAAGGGCGCTGGTGTGGCAGATGATGATTGAGTTATGCATTGTTACTCACCACAAGGTTACTAACTGGATCAACTCCCGGGCTCTAGATAGGGTGCATAACCTTATGCTGCATAATTATAAATAACCAAATTTGGACCCTTTCTTTTAAGTGGACTGCAGATTTAAGTGCGGAGAATTAAATGCATTTTATTTTCCCTAGTTTTTTTAATCGACTCTTATCTTCTTCGTTTTAACTCGGATTTCATTTTTTTTACATAGATGGAATGAGTTCGTTGTGCTCTACAAAATGAGATCCATTTTTATATTTTAAAAAAAATCCATGTCTCTCGTTACCAACCTCATACCATATGGTATCTCCTTCATTTTTATGTCGTTTTTGGAAATTTTTGTGCAAAATGAACGAGTTTATCATGATTTATTGGATCTACAAATTTCTGAGTGAACAAAATACATGACCAAAACATACCACACAATACCACCCTCGAACGTGGTGGTATCTTGTGGTACACAATTTTGAAAGTCTTAAATGACAGTTAGTATACTCCGACTATCATGTATTCAATCATCCTATAATCTCGGTATGTTCATACTACCATTGTACGCTTTTCATACGATATGGTATGCTCTTATTTAATACCAGTCAATACCATATGATATAGAGTATAGACTGGTAAAAAATGGCTCAAATTTTTTAGTTCAAAAAATATATTAAAGTGAATGTCATTTTGAATCACAATTAATCTTATCTAATTGTGCAAATTTCTACTTAAAACGAGTGAGAAATAGTCCATTAAAGATTAAGGGGGAAAATTAAAGACTTTTCAGAAGAGAGAAGAAGCGATGATATGGCGGATTGAGATTGGGTTATGCATGGTTACTCACCACAAGGTTATGCATGAGATTCATTCCCATGACAGTGATGGAAAACAGGTTGGCGAGTCAGGTATTTCAATATCTATATCTTTTTTTAACAAATTGTGTGGTGATAGAATTACACATGTTTTTACCCCTGTTCTTACACCGTTTGAGGTGTTGATTCTCGTGTTTTAGGCCGATTTCACGCTAGGTTGTGCTTGTTTGTGATATTTCAGGTCCTAGTACGTGAATGGAGGCTTGGGAGCGAGTTTGGGGTCGATTGGACGAAGATCGGACACGTGGCGAGGTGCTAAGGAAGTTGCACGGGCATTCCTGGACATCACACGGCCGTGCAACTCACATTTGTGGCCGTGCGATTTTCGTCGAGAGCAAGCACGGGCAGGATGGAAATCCCGCACGGCCGTGCGACCCTGGCCGTGTGGGAAGGCTGAAGATCGAACTAATTGATACGCCGCGTTTTGACTCGCACGGGCAACTGGGTGAGCCGCACGGCCGTGTGGCCTGCCCGTGCGAGTCGGGAAATCTTGGTTTTTCAGCCAATTTCGAGCCACAAGTGAGAGGATCGGACTTTTTGAGCAAAAACAGAGCCCTAGAGAGAGAAAGTACGAAGAACACATCCTAGAAGCTATCTTGGAGCTGGGTTTCATCGAATCGAGCTTGGAGATCGTCCTAGGAGTGGAAATCATCATCCCGGAGCAGATTTTCCTCATCTTTATGAGTATGACTACTCCGATTACTGTTTTCCTCTCTCTCTCTCTCTCTATGGAGTAGAACCTCTCTTTCACTTGGGGATGAAGAACCCTAGTTCTATGTGTTAGGGATTGATTGTAATGACTTGGGATGGTATTACTGTTTGATTTTAATCAAATGATGCATGTTTATTGAGTCAATTGAAGTCTGATCAACTTTTCCTGATTCCTGCTGCAATCTGAGATAGATAGAGTCTGATTAGGTTGCTAGAGTCTCATCATTCGGTAGTAGGAGATTGTCTATACGAGAGTTAGCCAGTTTACTGCTTTGTACTGGAATCCAATTCCAGTAGTGGAGTTCTGTTGTTACTGCTTCAGCTTTCTATCCCGGTGAAGACTAGTCGTCTGCTGGGTAGTTAGACTGAGAGGGCTTGGTCAGCTTAAGAGATTCCAAGCTACTGTCGGATCTTCTGCAGTCTAATCAACAGTAAATCAACCCAGGGAAATACAATTGAAACCTAACTAAGGAGCTAGGGGGACTCATTCCCGAGTGACTCTTACCTGCTTGAGAAAACCGTACCAATTCCTGCTTTCTTTCTGCTTTTGCTTTTAAACAACAATCACTTACTTTAGTTGGCTAGATAATAGAGAATCACTGAGTAAGCAGTAGATCTAGACCCCGGGTTGATAATATAACTTGTCACTTTACTGCATTCCCGGACTGCGATTATACTTGGTCGCAGTTTGGTGTTGTGTTTTGGAGCATCATGTGGATCGGGGCGGATAATACATTTTTTTAGTACGGTTTCTGCGTACCTCAGCCTATTATCACATGTTATTTGATGAAAATAAACACAAAATTTTAATATTTTACGATAAAATAAAGAGAAAATACTTCATGAGTGAAAGATAATGATAATAAAATGAGTAATTAAGTCTAATTAATTGAAAGATGAAATCCTGCAACTATTTAAGGTTTTATCAGGTGAATATATGTTTGAAGAATAATCAAATAGAAGAAATATAAATAGATATTGAGGCAAATGAGATAGAACAAGTCCAAAATTGAATGGGGCGAACATGTTAAGTAATATCCGCTCCAATACGAGTCAAGTCGGATAACAACCGATAAAGCAGGTTCATATATTGACAGAGATGAGGATCTCTAGCTAGCTTGCAGTTAGACTTTGTCCTTTCGAGTTTCATTCATGGTAATTGTATATTTCTGCATAAATATTAACGGTTTAGGATATAATTATATTGTGCACTTGTACAATGCAATCATATAACTAGTGCCATATATATTATGCACCTAACTTTAAAATTAATTTTAAGACATCAAATTTTGAATTTTAGGGGTCGTTTGAAAGCTGCGATTGTTAAATAGATGTATTGTTGTGAATGCATGTATAATATTATACATGTAATATCGAATTAGATGCATTGTACAAAACAACGTTTGGTATGTGTGATTCTATAGGTCACATCAGTTAAAAACTAAGACAACAATCTCAACTCAAATATCTCAACAATCACAACTAAAAGCTGATATATAACAATTACTCATTTTGAGTGATAGTTTATGTCACATCACAAAAACAATCCATGTTTTTTTAATTATCGAGTGATATCAATGGAGGACAAGAGTTATACATACAATTCTACCCAGGACCCCTTAAAAATATAATGAAGTCACCCCAAAAAATTGAAAGATTCTAGCTCTAGACGAGACCACTCTATAGGAAGCACTGTTGGCGGTTCTAGGTACTGCCCTAAACTCTATACAAACAGACATAGAGTTTAGAATCTCACGACACTCTCGTAACACCGGACCACCAATCGAGTCTTCTAAGACGACTTGCCGGACCTGATTGACGACCAATTCGGAGTCACTTTCGACTATCACGTGAGTCAAAGATCTTGAGGCGACTATGGAGATAGCGTCTCTAAAGGCTAGAAGCTCTATCAGGTAAGGATTGACTATTCCTTTATGTTGTAGCCCAAATGCCAACATCGCATGCCCGTTTGACCCACAGACAACAAGCCTAGACGAACACCCGGTGGCACAAACAGTCGGGTCGAAATTGATCTTCAAATAGTCTTCTGGGGTGGGACCCACGAGGTGGTAGGATGGTTTGAGAGGAGAGAGCTGCGGAGTGGAATAGGGAGGAGAAGGTTGGAGATTTCAAGGACCTGGTTGTAGAATTGTCTGGCTAGGGAACGGACATGGGGTTGGTAGAGTTCAAAAGTCACTTTATTTCTAAACTTCAAGATTCTCCAAAGTAAGCATATGCATTGGAGTATGTGGAATGGGGAGGTCTCAGAGACCATGACATGTCGCCACCATAGACTAAAATTAACAGTCGGGGCGGTCTCAATAAAGTTGCTCAATCCCACTAAAGTATACAATCTGGTAGCTAGGGGCATCTGAAGAATAAATGTTCAATGCTTTCTCGATGTCTCCAGCAGACAGGGCATCAGTTGAGGCAGTTTACTCCACGGTTTGAAGGGTCGCCACTATGGGGAGAATGACTTTGAGGCATTGCCATATGAGAATTTTGAGCTTAGGTGGGACTTGGATATTCCAAGTCTTTTTCCAAATAGGAGGGTCGATGATATGTACTATCGGTTTCCGGCTAGAAGCCAATGCTAATTCCAAAGCTAGGTGATAACCCGATTTGACAGTATATTTTCCATCTTTAAAATAGTGTCACACTCTAATATATTTTTTAAGGCAACGAGGTAGAGGGATCCTCCTGATGAGATCAACAAAGCGAGGTTCGTAGCAAAACTGGAGCTTTGGAATGTCCCACTCCCCTTGGCCTTCTCTAATGAGTGAACTGAAAAGTGAAAACAAAACCATAAAAATATATGACATTCACTATTTGTTATACTTACTTAATATATTCCTGCACAAAATAGCTAAGACGTCTGTTTATGGATACAGCTCTCCACAATTTAAGGGTACTACTGCTACTAACTACATATGGCTTTGCCGCCATTGAAGGTAGATGCCTATCTACGTCACCATCTTTGTTCTAATAGGTGGCCTTCATCACTGCCGTGTGTAACTGCAATCATCGTCATCAACCTTACTTTATTTATTCATTCATTCAATTCCTCGTTAATTTTTTTACTAATCCATGATTAACACTGAATCTAGGAGAGAATGAAGCAACAAAAAGGTGGAGAAGGAAACGGAGGTGTGGATTTGTGGTGGGCCGCCGCGGCCGTGACGGTGGTCCATGACGGAACGGCCCCGCCTCCCTCCGTTCCTTCTTTCTCTCCACGCCCCATGAAATGAAAGAGCCAACGCCGTTTTTTCGAGTTTCGGGACAGTCCCACGTGGCGGTCATGTCAGCGGGCCCCACTCCCCTCCTCTCCTCTCCTCTGGCCTCTGGTTATGGATACCCACCACCTCCACCACTTCTCTCTGCTCTCTCCGTTCCTTCGCCGGCCATATATAGACCTCCCAATCTTCCCTCCAGATTTTACCTCCGCTTCCTCCTCTTCACAACCCACTCAATAACAATCGGAATTCAATAAAATAAAAAGAACCCATGGATCGAGCCTCTTTCCTAGCTGCTCCACCGCCCGATTTCCACTACGCCGACTCCGCCGCGCTGCTGGACCCGGCGGCGGCGAAATGGCATCATCATCCCTACCACTATCACGATGTGGAACAACAACAACAACGATTACAGTACAATTTCCATCAGCAGCAGCAAGAAGTGGGCTCCTTAGGCGACGATTATATGGGCTGCGTTTTGAACGGGTTTCACGGCGACGGTGTTGACGGCGGGTTAGGGGAAGTGGTGGAGATGAGCCGGACCCCTTCTTCCTCCATCCAATTGAAACCCGACCCGGGTTTCTTCGCCAACGGCTGGCCTGATTTTGCCCCGGTTGGGAATCATGTGTATGGGATTTCTAGGACATCTAGCTGCCCGCCTACGGCGGCCGAGTCGTCGTCGCCGCCGGCTGCGGCGAGCGTAGTAGACGGCTCGAAGAAACGAAAATTGGACAAGCCCCAACAACGTAACCCTAAGGTCATTAATTTTCAAATTCAGAATTTCCGTAATGTTTCCCCCTGTTGTGTTATTGCTGAATTTTTTTTGCTCTGTTTAAAATAGGTGGTTGCGGTGGACGAGAACGGGGAATCGAAGACGAAGAAGGTGAAAGCCGGGTGTGGAGATGGAGGTGATAAAAAGAGCAGCGTGAGCAGCAGCAGTAGCAGCAGCAAGAACAAGAACAAGAACAAGAACGTCAAGAAGGAGAATTCCGGTGCGGATAGCAGCTCAAAGGAAAACAACAGTTCCAAAGTTACTCATGAAGTCCAGAAGACGGATTACATTCATGTTCGCGCCCGCCGCGGGCAGGCCACTGATAGCCACAGCTTAGCTGAAAGAGTGAGCACTTTGCACACTCCATCTTTATGGCTCAAAGTTTGTAATAATGCTGATTGAAAAATAAAAATAAAAATTCTCTTCTTTGTCATCAAACATTTTGACTGATTTCTGGTTGTTGTTGTTGTTGTGAATGGGACAGGTAAGGAGGGAAAAGATCAGCGAGAGGATGAAGTATCTACAGGATTTGGTGCCTGGATGCAACAAAATCACAGGCAAGGCTGGGATGCTTGACGAGATTATCAACTATGTCCAATCCCTTCAGCGCCAAGTTGAGGTAATAACAAAATCATACCACCATAAAACTGCTTCATTTGCTTGCTATTTTGTTTACTGATACGATCCTACTTATCCATGGAAACAGTTCTTGTCCATGAAACTAGCTGCTGTGAATCCTGGCATGGATTTCAACATCGACAGCTTGTTCCCCAAAGAGGTTGCAGCTGGTGGTGGGAACAATTTCCCGGCAAGCTCGGATATGGCAGCGGCCTACCTTCACTTGAACTCACTGCAACAACAGTTATTGGGTTGCTCTGGTCTGGAGATGGGGATGATGATGAACCCTTCTTCTGCAGCAGCTGATATGGGGCTCAGAAGAACAATCAGTGCACCAATCACAACCCCAGAAACCGAAACATTCATCGATTCCTCTTGTTTCCCAGTAAGTTGATCAATTCTACACATGATTTGTATCAGTTTGTATTAATCAAAGATAGCGTTTTGCATCCAAATGATTAAACTAATTATTATGTGTGTTATTATCTGTGTTTTGCAGCAGCAAGCATCAATTTGGGATGCTGATCTTCCAAGCCTTTACCAAGTAGCATTTGATCAAGCAAGGGCTGCATCCTTCCCATCTCAGCAATTTGCAGGTACAGAGAGGGGGGAAAAGGTGGAAACTTTGAAAAGAAGTTCTAACTAGTACTAGTAGTGATGGAGGTTAGGGAGAACCCCACAATCTTGCAATCATGTAATTGCTTTTCTTTCTGACTGACTGAAGTGGGAGTGAAGTTGGTTAAGATGTGTCTTTCAATCCTTCTTTCAGATGACAACAACCACTGATTTTCTTTTTCTCCCCCTCCTTTAGAAATGAAAGGGATCTCCATCTTTCACCCATAATGGTGTCATTTCCTTGAAAAGAGAAACCAACAAGAAGTGGGATATTGACCAATTAGCTTGCTTCATCGTCTCAATGATTAATTAACGTTAAACTTCCATGATGATTCTGATTGTTAGACAAATTAATAGGCTTTTTTATTATAAAAGATACAAGATTATGATGATAATGATGAGGATAAGAGCTAAGTTTAAGATTAAGTGCTCCCTAATCGCCCCACCAAGATTCCCCTGCCTCCCATTTCTCATCACACTATACTTGACCCTTTTGCAGGTTCAGCTGGTTCATCAAATCTGAAGATGGAGATGGAGATGTGATGAAGAAGTTGAGAAGAGATAGAGCTTTATTATGTTCATGCCTGCAAATTAAAATCTCTGATGATTCTTTTGCTTGCTTGTGGTACATACCCCATATGTATATTTTTTTTGTATGCATACCATCATGTATTATTGCTATCAATAAAAGATTAGCATCAATTTGAAGCCCTTTTACTGAAGTTACTTACAAAGTTAAGTGCTTTCTTGTTACTTAAATCCAAATTACAGAGCAATCAATGGTGGAATCTAACATCAATGAGATAGAATAGAAGAGAATATGTTGGTGGTTGATGGTGATGGAGGGTGGGCGGGGACCGGATGAATTGAAATGCACCTACAATGGGTTTCGTGCATTGACAGCAACAGAGCAGAAGAGAAGTATATCTAACCTATCCTCCTGGCAAGCTCCAAAGGACAGGAAAAAAAGTGCAAAAGGGAAAATGAGCCAGAAAGAATAATGAGTGGGATGGAGAACAGAACGAAAGAAGGTACCAAAAGAGAGCAGAGTTGGGTAAATGTGACGGAGTGATGGAGAAGTGTTGTTAGTGGTCACAGTGATGGTGAAATCTGTGTCCAAACTTAATCATCACTGCTAATACTAATCCGCTTGATGACTGCTAATGTAGCTGTGGCATTGCCACTCAGATGACTGCTACTGATTTGATTTTGAAGGTGTTGTGTGGTGGCCGAGGGATCGATTAAGAAGAGCTCGCGCATGATGATGATGGTCGCAGTCAATCAACATTGGGCTGGCTGGGCGCAAGTTGGTGCTGTTCATTCTTGTGCAGTTGCTTTTATGGTGCGATTGGATAACCTGATGGATAATCCTTCCATGTAGAGTAGAGTGACCACAGAAACGGGGCCTCTGTAGTGTACACAACAGAGCCCTGACCAGACCAGCGCCGGGCCAGGACCATTTTGCATTCATTCTCACACCCGCCTGCCTCTCCTTGTCAACCTCGGTTTTCCATATCTTCTTCTTCTTCTTTCCTACTTTGATTATTAGAAAGAAATGGAGGAATCTTGTGTCTGTGGAAACAGAATTAACTGCAGCTGGGTGGGTGTTTAATGATGAGTGAATTCATGCAGAAACAGGACTACTGTTGCAGGAGGGATGGGGGAGATGGAATAAAGAGGCTAAAAAATTCCCCCACTTGGAGTCAAACTTGTTCGTGCAGATCAGAGCAGAGAACAGCAGCTATTCTCACTGTCTGTCTCTCTTTGACCATTGTTTTACCTGTTGCTTTTCTTTTCCAGATTGATTCTTGCCCAACTTGTTTCATAGAATTAAAATGTCATTGCTTAATTTGTGGGTGAGAAATGGCAATGGACAGGGCAGGTCGAACCACATCCAAGTCAAAGCAGGTCAAACAGATCGGGTAAAACGAATCAGATCGAAATTGTCATATCGACTCCATACAACTAAATTTATCCATCACTCAACCTCCAAAAGTTAAGCAACTTGGTGAACTTGAGTTCAGAATCCAACCAAAACTACTTGTTTCTCACCTCCTACTAATGTGTAGGCCATGGCAAAATGTTAAATCGGGTATGGTTTGAGATACGTATACAAAAAAGTCATGACTCATGATGATTCGGATTCCTCATACTTGTCATACAACATGATACGATTAGATTATCTAGAAGTGTCAAGTTTGGCGTTACTCGACACTTTTTTGTATGCAATCGCCACGGAATGTGTTGCTACAATAAAATGAAAATACGAGTACGACATTACTGTTTTAAAACTTATCGAAATTAACTATATTGAACTATCATCTTGCACATATGTGAAATGGATAAGAAAGGGAAGATATTGAACTAATATGAGACAACTGGTGGTTGCCTGCTGTTCTTTTGATAACTATGGCAAAATGAATGAGTTTACAAGGTGCCTCATGCCTTCATTTTCAAGCCACAGGGAGAAGAAATAGTGAGAGGTGGTGGTGGGGGGAAGTGGGCCTGGGCCTCTATCCACAAACCCAACAAGATCTCTATTTGATTCTCTTTTGGATTGTGAAAGATGATGCAATACACATTTAACAATTTCTGCCTATCCTTTTCCAGCCCAATTTCCCTTTCTTCTTCTTCCTCTCTCTTGGCCCCATTTTTCACTCACCTCCCTACTGTTGCAATTTCTTCTCTGTCTCAGCTTTTCTGGTTGCAGCTTTCTTGGCTTTGCCAAGTCTGTACTTGTGTTGTTGCAATTCCAAGGAATATATAATAAAACAGCAACAAAACAACCCAAGATTCTTTCCTCCTTTTGTCAATACTTGTTTCCAGCTATGGAGCTACTTGTTGTTGATGGTGCTCCCAATTCTGTGTCTTTACTCCTTGTTGCAACTGGATTCCTGAAAATTGACTACACAATGGCTATCTCAAAGATGTAAGTAGTGCCACTACATATAAGTGGTATATGTGGAGTTTGGGTGGTGGATAGGATTGATAATTTGATATAGAGAGTTGCTAAATGCCATATACTCGTATTCAAAATTAATGAAGGTCTTCCTAAAAAATATCAAAGTTACACTTTTAACCATTTAGCTTCTTTACTTCTCTTTTAGCAAGCAAACAAACACCACTTAGACTAAGTAAAAAAAATAGTATCGAAGAGAGAAAGAATCATTTTGGAGCCGAAATCGTCGGTAGGAGGTAAAGTTCACTCCCAAAAAAAAAAAAGGGAACCGCAAGTGAGTTGCGATTGCACCATGGACCAACCGCAACTTGCTTTAGGTTGAGCGTTTTTAGGAAATTTTGGTCGGGAACGGCCAACGACGGGTCGTTGGCGGACTAGAGCGCCGGAAGGGAGGCGGGAATAAGGGAGACAAGGGGTTGGTTTGAGCAGTTAAGGATTGTTTGGTTTGTTTAAATTTTAAAATTTAATTGGGGGTATATAGGTAGTTTATTATTAGAGTTAGGGTAACCTTTAGCGATTCAGTTGATATAGTATTCCTGTATTGTTGTCAAGGCCAGGGGGAAAAAAAGGATTTGTGTTAGGGTACCTATCGTTCTACATTCATACGTGATTGATTACATGCAAGATGTCGCACTTTACACAAATCTATTATTCGTAAGAATTAGATATTGAGATAGAACAATGCCACTACACGAGGCATGTCTATATAAATATGATTCTTCAACGGCAAATAAGCCTTTTGAATCACCCCAAACTTAATACTTTGATGAGGGTGCAACATTAAGGGTAGTTTGCTTCTTGAATTTGTATCAAGATTTTGTTAGAATCTTTTGTTTGCTTGGCCAAATTTTTTGGAGACAAATTTGTGGGGCTTTTTTGCTCCAAATTTGTGGGCCACACGAATTGCAAATATCACATGATAACTTGAGGTTTAACTCAGGGTTGAAAACCAAGTTGTAAAATGACACATATATTCCTATTAAACTCAGGGTTGTTATTCCAAGTTTATTCTTTTTTTTTTATATTACTCTACTGTCGATTTCTTTTCCCTGCAAATACATAGCACAATCTTCCTCCTCGTAATGGAATGCATCAAGGTTGTACATAAGTCGTATATGTGGAATGTGGGTAGTGGATAGGATTGATACAATACTCATGTCTTGTTGTCAAGGCTAGAAAAAAAGATTTTCATTTATGTTATGGTACTTAAAGTTCTACATTTAGAAGTGATCAATTGCATGCAAGATGTCACACAATTTACAGATCTATTTTTCGTAAGAATTTGATGTGTTGAGATAGAACGATTCCACTATATGATGCAAGTATATATAGGAACTAGAATGACAAATGTGTCTTTTGATTACAATCCAACCAGAGAAGATTTGGACTAGATTTTTAATTCTCAATTTAATCCTTTTTTTTTCTCGAGGTAAAAAAATATCAAATCTTCTTGGTAGTTTACTAGCTTGGGTAAAATATCTTAGTTGCCACTTAAGTTTGAGAATTGTGGTAGACATACCACTTAAGTTTGAATAGGGCGTTGGGTACTACTAAACTCTATTATATGTGCACCCGGTACCACTTAAGTTTACTGCTAAGTGCATTTCGTTAAAGTTGACAGAATATTCTTGGAATATCCCGTTTTCTTAATTTCATAATTGGTCCTTCTACTTTTTTATTGTAAAAAATTCATTTGGACTTATGAAAAACATCATTTTTTAGTGTTTAGTTATAATCCTCTTTTGAATACTTGATACCAAACCAATTTTTGAATAGAAAATTTTGAATCAATTATCATTATAATTATTTTTAATTATCATTATGTGTTATAATAATTTAATTATTTCATGAATGTTGTAACTAAACAATGTTGTAGCTTTTATAGTCATATTTTCTTTTCTATATTTTTTACCGAATGAAGTAGCTTTTATATTTTATTTATTATTTTGTTACTTTCCATCTCATTTTGTTCTAATTTTTTTCAATTAGTGGATATTATTTAATTCTTTCTGATTGTGTTCCATTTATCATTTTTCATTTTGATATATTGATGATCGATTAGGTTCTATTTTAACTATTTCTAATGGTGCTTTTAATTGAATTATGGGGTTTATATAGATATTCTAATATTTATTCTTCTTCTTGATATTCGTTTATTATTTTTACTAATTTATCCATTTTATTGAATTTTTTTTATTAGTCATTATAGTAATAATATGTTTAGAAGGTTTTCTAATTATTATATTAGATAAAACTTGTTGAAATATAGTTTTGGATGTTTTTAAAAGTTTTGGGTATCAAAAAGTAATTAAAAATTCGGGTTGGTTGGAAAAGTAAACAGATATACATTTTGACAACTTTAATGATACCCAACGTCCTATTCAAACTTAAGTGGTGTGTTTACCCCAATTCGCAAACTTAAGTGGTACCCAAGATATTTTACCCTTACTAGCTTCATCAAATTAATTCTCACTCCACTTCGCCATTTGGTGTGACTTCAAATATTTCATCTAAGATCCACTCTTTTTTTTTTTTTAATATTCATCGATCAAAACATACACATCTTCTTGGCATACACCTTATCATAAGAAATAAAACGTAAAAATTTAGTGGTATGGACATAGATAATTAGTAACCCATCTCTGTGAATCCAAGAGCTTCAACTCCCCAGCACTTCCAATTGCTTTCACCACCATTGACCTCCTCTTTCCCCATATCTAAGCTTCATTCATACCTTCATACCATAGAAAAGTGGGATTAGAAGAAGTACCACAAGAAAGTTTAGTTAACAGTAACTGATCCCTTTAAACAGATTATTATCAGTTAACAAGACAACTTACATTCCATAGGAACAATTATGACTGGAGCTTTGCTGTGGTGGAAGCAATACTCCCCAACACTTCCTTGCATCACACTGGAAAACCAAAAACAAAAATGTTCAACCACGGTAAGAGGCATTTATAGTAACGAATTCCGCCTGTGTGCTAAAAGGAGTTGGCTCATTGTGCTATGATACCAGATTGGCTAATAACTGGGTTATTATTTTCATGATCTCATAAAGAAGAGGAAGGAATAGAGAAAGAAAGAAGGAACCTTTGAAATAGACTTCTGCCTCTGGTTCCTAGTACAACTGCCACAGGCCTTATCCTCTCTGCTTCCTTGCAAATAACCTTACTTGCCTCTCCTTCCACTATTTTCCCAACTGCCTTCACCTGATCCATAAATGACATGAACAAAAAGTTTGGAGCTTTCCTGTTCTGTTCTGCTTAGAGAGCCAATTGTAAGACGAAGGTTAAACAAAGGAATGGACTTTGTTAACTGTACTACCTTAGCCATTTTCAAAGCCTCAATTGTGAGCTTCTCTACCAGCCCTTCAGCCATGTCAGAAAGCAATCTATTCTTGGAATCTAGCAACACGGAAATGGAAGAACAGAAAGAATCCAAATCATAACAAAACCAGAGAAGAAAACCAGTTCAAATCTTAGAGCTAGAGATAAAATTTCCATCAGGAAAGAGGAAAATTTCACCAGAAAGAGCATGAACAAGGTGGAGAGTATCTGCCTGGCGGCAGAGATGAAGCAGAGCCCAGTTGAAAGCATGTCTGCTGTTTGGTCCATGATCTACAGCCACAATGATATCTCTTCCTTTGCTTCTTCTTCTTCTAATTGTTGCTGCTGTTTCCTTCTTTTCCACTTCTGCTCCATCATTCCAGCTGTCGTAGACCTCATCTTCTTCCACAGTTTCCAGCCCTTTCACTGTTTGCTTCTCTATCTTCACACTGTCTGAATCCATTGGTTTTGATAATGGAAGATCCAACTCCTTTCTGGACAGCTTTTACTCTTTTCCGTGGTGGGTTTTTCTTTTTGCTGCCTCTCAAAAGTAGAGGGTGGGGAAAGAAGGGGACTTGTTTTGGCTGATACCGTGGGCAGCTATGGTGGGTTCACATCTGCTGGAACTACTTTGTTGACCAAACAGACACAAGGAATCTGTGATACTGTTGCTTATTTCGGTTTCTTGCAAGTTTTTCAATTTCTTTTGTGGGGATGTTTGGCTTGGAGAGAATTATTCATGTGTGGAAAATCAAGGAAAGTTCTTGGTATATGAGAGGATTAAAGAGAAAACAGATGAGATGATTCATTCCAAAAACCAAACCAGAATTGGTAAAGTCATTACAAACAGCAGAGGCATGGGATCCGCAAAGCCACAACATTTCACCATTCTTTTTTTGTATTTTACATGAAAAAATAAAATCTTAATGTGCTTCAAGCTTGTACTCAAACTATTCTTCTCAATCTGACCAACAATGACGAAGGAACAAGAAAATATAGTAGTATGATACATACACACACACAACACAGAACACTTGACCAACTCATCACACCAAAGTTCTCACAGCTTCAAGGGTTCTCTAATGCTTCAAAATGTACTTTAATTTCCATCTTCTTCATTATCAATGTAACAATGGCTAGTTCCAAGTTACCAATGATTCGTCTCCAGCTTCTGCAGATCAACCCCAAGAACACTCAATAACTAGCTAGCGTTAAAAGAACACATTCCATCCATAAAGACTTCAGAAAATTTCGCGCAAAAATTACCTTTCCCAGGAACGATTGTGACAGGTGCGGCTTTGCAGTGGTGGAAACAATACTCACTAACACTTCCTTGCAGCACACTGTGGTCGTGTTTGGAAGAAACAAAGGTTAGCACAATAGAGGAAATTAGCAATGGAGGGTTGTGATTGGGGAAGAGGGAAGAAGGAGGCATTTGATAGAAGACCTTTGAACTAAGCTTCTGCCTCTAGTACCCATCACCACAGCTGCAGGCTTAATCCTTTCTGCTTCCTTACAAATTACTTTGCCTGCATCTCCTTCAACTATCCTAGCCACACTCTTCACCTGTTTTATGTCCCCAAACAACATTATCAAGCAAATATAAAGTTATCAAACATCACATAGGTAGCAAGTTAAGCGAATTAGAAGCAATTCAAGTTCACGGTTCTCTACATTTCCCACACTGAAGCAGAGCCATTGCATCAGCCATCCAGTTAAAGGGCAAGGAGACAGACAACCAAGTGACAATGAAATATCCAAGTCATCGAATTTGATTTTCATGATGAAGAAGGTATGAATGGATACAGAAAAACTAGTTCCATCGCCATTGTTCATATCATATGAAATTGATGGTATGTCAAGGGCTTAAGTGACTAAGGAAGCTAGATCTGAATTCCCATTGCTTATGCATTGCAGACTCGAACATTAACATGAAACGATCTGGATACCGTCTTCCCAACAGAGCAGATGCAATATCCACAGCCCCAAACAAGACAAGATCATTAACCCTTCGCTCAATGAGAAAATGGGCCAGATTCTACAGGATCAAACCTATGGGACTTAAGGAATAACGGAAGGGATCCATCATAACACAACAAAAACTAGATGGAAAGAGTTTACTTGTATCAACTAAAAATCAACCATCACATTCCAAATTGCAGGAACGACAAGGAAAGGGGAACGTTTGTTTACTCACCATAGCGACCTGAAATGCCTCAATGGCAAGCTTCTCCATAAGCCCTTGTGTCATCTCATACACAACATCATTCTTCACACCTGCACACCCCCAAATCAGAAGACAAAACCAATTTATAAGAGAAGAACAAAATTGACCCCTGTACGAGAAGAAACCACCCAAAGGAAAAGGTTGTTAAGATTTACTTGAGACGGCATGAACGAGATGGAGAGTATCAGCAAGCCTGCAGAGATGGATGAGAGCCCAATCGAAGGCATGCTTGCTGTTGGGTCCATGATCGATAGCTATGACAATATCTCGCCCTCTCCTCCTCTCCCCTTTCTCCCTCTCCAACTCCGGTTCTGGCACAATCGGGATCAAAGATGGCAGCTTTACTTCCCTCCAGTTGTACTCTTCCTCTTCCTTCAACACCTCCATTTTCTTTCTTTCTTCTTCCACCCCCTTCTTGTACAGACTTTGATTTCCTTCCCGGCGCTGGCTGCTTCTCGATTTGTCAAAGAGATCAACAGGGTCTTTTTTCTTCAGACAGAGAATCTTGACAATTGCGGTTTTATGGAAATGTTAGTGGGGAACTTCGTTTTCGTTCTGTCGGCGATTATATTAGGCGGTTTGATTTGGAGGGGCCGACTTTTCTGGCAGCCAGCCGCCGGCGACCATATTTGACGTGTTTGAACCGTATAGATGGTAAAATATCAAAATGGTCACTGTACTACTGTGTACTGATAAATCAGTCCTGTGTAAAAAAAATTCTAACTATTTCGTTTACTGTTGTAAAAATTTTCAAACTATTTCATTTACTGATGGACCTTTGTCAAATTTCACCATATTTTGAAAGATTAGGTAGCACTTGAAATTGCATAGTGTTGGGCCGCGTAGTTGAGCGTACTTGGGCTTTGGGCCCAAGAGAAGCGGGTCGGAGTTGAAGGCCCAATAAGGAGGCCAGGCCCGATTGAAAGACCAGGTCAGCAGGCGGTCCATGATCGACTGCAAACCCGAGGGCAAAGACAAGGGCGCCTGACATAAAGCAACTGAGCATCGCAGAGGGGCAGAGAGCCGTTGAGGATGCGTATCTGGTGTCAGGCAAGACTGAGCATTTATTGCCCGCCACAGGCGGCCTGCAGAAAGGCTGAAAGCCTGCCCAGGACGCCTGACATTTCCCAAAAAGCCTGAATGGGCGCCCGACCAGGTCCGAGGCGCCCGACACAGCATTTAATGCCCCAACCACCCTTCAGCCAGGTATAAATAGAGGGTGAGTGCATTAATGGTAAGGCCAACTACTATCTCTCTCTCTATGATAAATACATTCTACCTCTACTTCTCTCTCTAACTTGAGCGTCGGAGAGTGTCCCGGGCAACCGCCCCGGACCCTTGTTTTGCAGGATCTCTGAAGTCACTCCGTCATCTCGAGATAGGCGCCTCGCCCCAGCTCCACAAAACCGCCTAGTATTTACTAGGCACAAACAATTTGGCGCCCACCGTGGGGCAGGAGCGAAGCGTTGAGAAGGGATGGACGGAAACTTTAGAACTCCGGTGAAGGATGTGGTCGGAGGAGAAGTCATCAGAGGGCTGGAAATGCCAACGGTCGAAGAAGAAAAGGACATGGAGGAGCGGGTGAAGGACCAGGGGCAGCAGATCACCAGTATGCAAGAAAGCCTGAGTCAGATCCTTACCATGCTCCGAAACAAAGACGAACCAGAAGGTTCAAGGAGGCAGGGCGACAAGGATAAAGGCATTGAAGGAGACGCTCCCCCAAGCCCCCCTCCGGCGGAAGGAAGCGAGTCCGAGACAGAAGGGAATACCGAAGGCGCCCACTTAGACCTCCTCGAAGAACACTTACGACCCGGTTATGGGAGGCCTAGGGGCTACAACGTGCTACACAACCCGCTGGCGAAGAGTTTGTTCAAAACCCAGGTGCCCGCGAACTTCTCATCGCTGGGGCTGCCCACCTACACGGGAAACTCAGACCCGTCAGACCATCTAAGCGCCTTTATGCTCAAAATGCAGCTGATAAACGCCTCAGACTCGGATCTGTGCAAAGCGTTTCCAGTCACCTTCGGAGGACAATGCAGAAGCTGGTACGCATCTCTGCCAGCAGGAATCATCGAAAGCTTCGAGCAGTTCGCTACCCTCTTCTCATCGAAGTTCGCGTCTCAGCGAAGACGGAAGCTCACGGTATCGGCCCTCATAAACTGTAAGCAAGGAGAGGAGGAGACCCTTGCCGATTTCTATGATCGGTGGAACACCATAGCATGCGAGGTCAGAGACGTCTCTACCAGCGTGGCCGCAGGAAACCTGAGAATGTCAACACACAGCCGCGAGCTCAAGAGGGCTCTCATAAAAAAGGAGCACAGTATCCAATCATGGCAGGACTTGGACAGTGTCGTACGCAAAGCCATAGTCCTGGAGGAAGCGCTCAATGCCGAAGAAAATGCGAAAGGAGCGCACGCCCCGACGGGCAGGATAGAGAAGGGTAGGAACGTGTCGCCAAAGCGAAGGGGGCGCTCGCCCGAGAAACGCGGCTATAAGCCCCGATTCAGCAACAGGGACGGGAGACGCGAGGTGCTCTCTTCTGAGAAAGAGAAAGAGGGGCGCCGAGAAGGAGGCAGAAATCGAGAGGCGCGTCCCCGGCAAAGAAGAGAGGACGACCAGAAGTGGTGCGACTGGCACCAACTCCCAACCCACGACACCGCAGAGTGCCGGGAGTTCAAGGCTAGCCTCAAGTACCTGGCCCCAGGGGATTTGAAAAACCGCCTGGACACATGGGCACACCCCAGAGAGGGAGCCAGGGAAAGGGAAAGGTCTCATAGACCGAGAAGGCGATCACGCACGCCCAGACGTCGGAGATCAAGATCACCCAGGCGAGAGCGGACGCCGCGGAGGGAGCGCCTTCCTCCGCCCCCGAGGCATGCTCCTCTCCCGATTCACGGACGCGAGGAAGAGGATGGGGTCGAGATCATAACCATCGCCGGGGGGCACAAACGCCTTCGGACAGAAGGAGACCACTTGGTCCAGTGCATGAATGTCCACAGAAAGGAGCAAGTTGAGATCAGCTTCTCTCCATCCGAGCTAGCGCCCGGGGAATGCGGGGAGGACCCACTGGTCATATCCCTCAGAACAAAGAAGTTCAAGGTCACCAGAGCCCTGGTCGACAACGGGAGCTCCGCTGATATCCTGTTCTATTCCACGCTCAAAAACATGAAGCGTGGGATGCAGGACCTCAAGCCTTCCACTACTAGCCTAGTGGGGTTCTCTGGCTCCAAAGTTCGAGTCCTCGGCTCTATCACCCTCCAGGTGACTATCGGCTAGCCGGGGGCGACAAAAACACGCCTCATGGACTTCCATGTCGCGGACTGCTCGTCTGCCTATAACGCCATTCTCGGGCGCGGCTTCTTGTCGACCTTCTCGGCGGTCGCCTCCACTTGTCATCAGATGCTTAAGTTCCCCAACAAGGGCCAGGTAGGACGCGTCCGCGGGGACTCCCAGCAGGCCAATGAATGCTACCAGGCTACCATCAGGAGCCTAGAGGTGGACCAGGTGGACTCGCGAGGAAGTCACCCACGTCCGGAGGTGGCCGAGGAGGATGTGGCGGTCGTCCTTGACGAAGAAGAGCCGGAGAAAAAGGTCAGAATCGCAGCTCACCTCACGGAAGAGCCGGCGCGGAAGCTCATAGCCCTTCTCAAGGAATTCAAAGACCTGTTCACTTGGACATCGGAGGACATGCCGGGCGTCCCGAAAGAGCTGGCCGAACACTCCCTATCGGTGAGAAGCAAAGCTCGGCCGGTGCAACAAAGGAGAAGAAACGCCTCGCTCGAAAAGCAAATGGCGCTAGAAGAAGAGGTGAAGCGCTTGCTGAAGGCCGGCTTCATCCGAGAAGTCAAATACCCGACGTGGCTGGCCAACCCGGTTTTCGTACGCAAGGCGTCCAGGCTGTGGAGGATGTGCATAGACTTTACAAGTCTCAATGCGGCCTGTCCCAAGGACGCATACCCCCTTCCCCGGATCGATCAGCTGATCGACGCAACCGCCAATCACGAGACCCTCAGCTTCTTGGATATGTTTTCGGGCTACCATCAGATACGCCTATCAGAGGAAGACCAAGAGAAAACCGCGTTCATGACGCACATGGGGAATTTCTGTTACACGGTCATGCCCTTCGGACTAAAAAATGCAGGAGCAACCTACCAAAGGATGATCGACACGGTATTCCAGAAACAGATGGGGCGAAACGTGGAAGCCTATGTTGATGATGTCCTGGTTAAAAGCAAGAAGGAGTCAGACCACTTGGCTGATCTGAGAGAAACGTTCGAGACGCTCAGAAGAGAACGCCTCCGCTTAAACCCTCTAAAGTGCGTCTTTGGGGCCAAAGCAGGAAAGTTCCTGGGCTTCATGATCACTAGCAGGGGCATAGAGGCGAATCCAAAGCAGATCGAAGCTATACGCAGCCTAAAGCCGCCCAGCACGGTCAAGGAAATCCAGGCCTTCAATGGGAAGATGGCCACCTTAAGTAGATTCATTCCAAGGGCAGCGGATAAATGCTCTCCTTTCTTCAAGATGTTGAAGAAGTCCGCCTCACGATCGCAATGGGGTCCGGAATGCGACAAGGCTTTCTTCCAGCTGACAGAACAGCTGGCCTCCCCCCCCGGTCCTAAGCGCTCCCCTCCCGGCGAAGCCCCTATACCTGTACCTGGCGGTCTCCGACCAGGCGGTCAGTTCGGCTCTAGTAAGGAGGAGCGCCGAGGGCATCGATCACCCAGTATACTATGTTAGCAAGGCCCTCCTCCCAGCGGAGCGACGCTACATGCCGATCGAGAAAGCGGTGCTCGTAGTCGTTTCCGCAGCGCGGAAGCTGCGCCCCTACTTCCAGGGGCACCCCATAACTGTGCTCTCCAATCTTCCCCTCAGGAAGATACTCAAAAGTCTAGACGCCTCCGGACGGCTAACCAAGTGGGCGGTCGAGCTAAGCGAATACGACATCTCGTACGCGCCACGGCCCTCCATAAAGGGTCAGGTGCTGGCCGACTTCGTAGCGGAAGGTTTCAGTCTAGAGGACTCTGCGGAGAAAAACCAAAGCCAGATGTGACGCCTGTTTGTGGAGGGAGCCGCTGGAAAAAGCGGAGCAGGCGCAGGAGTCGTGCTCGAGTCGCCGAGAGGAGTCATACATGAGTTCTCGCACAGGTTTCAAGAGCTCAAGACGAACAACGTAGCAGAATACGAGGCCCTCCTAAGCGGCCTCCGAATCGCCACTGGAATGGGCGCCAACCGCATCCACGTCTGCTCTGATTCCCTGATAATGGTCAACCAAGTCCTGGGAGACTATGAAACCAAAGAGGAAGCGTTAGCAAAACTAGCCACCGAGGTCAGGGGCCTTCTCTCCCAGCTGGACGAATGGAAGCTAGAGCACGTCAAGCGTGAAGATAATCACCACGCTGACGCCCTATCAAAGCTGGAAACCGCGATGGACTTCGAGGGCGACCGACAAATCACTGTAACCAAGGAAGCCCACCCGGGTTGCGGTGTCATGGCCATTGAAGACGGAAGCGGGGACTGGCGCCTCCCCCTAATGGAGTACCTGCAGCAGGACACGCTCCCGAGTGAAGAGCCCCAAGCGAAGCAAATCAAACGGAAGGCGGCCCATTATAGCATGATCGAAGGGCAGTTACACCGGAGGTCATTCTCAGGAGCATACCTAAAGTGTCTGGGTCCCGCGGACGCCGAGTGGATCATCAAGGAAATCCATCAGCGCACATGCGCCTCCCATGCAGGCCCCAGGAGTCTTGAGAAAACAATCCTATTGCAGGGGTACTACTGGCCCACCGTGAAGAAAGACGCAGAGAGAATTGTTCGTAAATGCCACGAGTGCCAAACTCACGCCAACAAGCAGCATTTGCCAAGCGCAGAGCTAAGGAGCATAACCGGCCCATGGCCGTTTGCTCAATGGGGTCTTGACTTGCTAGGCCCTTTCCCAACAGCCCCCCTGGGAAAGAAATATCTGGTGGTGGCGGTCGATTACTTCACAAAATGGATAGAAGCTGAACCGCTCGACACGATAACTAGTGCCAAG